GTCTTCTGTCCTCGGTTCTCCCCTGGCTCTCTTACTGCAGCTCCCCAGCCTTTGCCTCTCCTCCCACAGGAGAGCTCAGGGTACTTCTGCATGTGATGAACAGGATCAAAGTCTCTCAGGGCATTAATGTGTTGGATAAGCATTGGGCACAGGAGTTCTTCTCCTATCCATCCTACCCCAGGCAGGCATGTTGTGGTAATGAAACATGGTGTGACAGGAGGAATGAAATATTTACTTTGGCTCATCCAGGTTTGCACTGAGGTGGAAGAATTAATCCCACTACAAATTACACCTCTGCTATTGCTTTTAGGGGGGAGATGGTGTTAGCAGTAGACATCCAGCTCTATCTGCTCTTCCCAGATCCAACAGAAATCAGTGGCTGGAGCCAAGAGCCTTTGGGGGTTTGGAAAGACAAGTCAGGAGTGGTGAGTCATGGCTTGAGGGCTTCCAGCAAGCTGGGATGAGCTGGGGCTGCCCTGGGCAGTGTAAGGGCAGGGGGGGTCCAAAGAGGGACCTGGGCATGTGGCCTGGGGAGACCGCTGCACTGGGGTGCAAGACTGCACCTCTTTTAGGTAGCCACGTTTTTGGGTTTACTTGGCTTGTGATGGCAGTTTGAGGTCATAAGAGGTGATGCTAGCTTTGATCCCACTGAGCTGCAGGTGAGCCTCGGTTCTCCTTGTGATCGCCCAGGGTAAGTTCTCTCCTGAACTCTGGTCAGCTATGGGGATAACAGGTAAGCTCTGGATTCAGTGTTGCAGCTGTCAGAAAGACTGTGTGGAGCATATTTCATTCTGGCAGCTATTCTTTGGCTTCTCTTTACACAGAGGTTTGCATGGAGGCTTTAAGCTGCTCTGCACAAGGTGGCACTGAGATAGTGCACTGATAGATGGAGGCTGTAGAGTATCTCTGCTCTGGAAGTGTTGGTCAGACAGTGCAGAGTTCACAAGCCTGTTCCTCCCGAGAGGAAGATCATGTCAGTGTTTTTGCTTTGCCTGCATTACCTGATGCATCGTTCTTATTGCACATGTGGGGAGAGAGATTGCCGAGACGGTTCATCTCTGGAGGCTGTTAAGAGACATTTAGCTTCAGCTAAGACTCCTCATAAAACGAGTCAGCTTTCGGGCAAGACAAGGCAGTGCCTGGAAGCCCTCCAGGCACGTAGAAAGAAGCACACTGCTCAGGCAGGGCTAGAACTGCTCGTCCCAGGAGACATGTGCAGGAGGAGCTCTGACGGGGAGAGCTGGGCAGCACGGGGGAAAAGGGGCTCTCAGGTGGAGCTGCGATTACCTAAGGAGTACATTAGGGAATACAACTGAGGTTGTCACTTGGAACCTGGTAGCAGCAATGGATAACACTGTCCTGGGGCAGATGTGGAGCTGCAACAGACTTATCCAGGTAATCAGTTGTTTCAAGACATCCCTTCTTTTCCCTAGAAGCCAAACAGTCTCTGCTGAAAAAAGGAGCAGTTATGGATGCTGCAGGCAGGTGGGAAGCAAGAAACACCTTCACCCTGCTGTAGCATGCTTCTTTGCAGTCAGCCTATAGGTTTGTGTGTCCCATGTGAAGAGTTCAGCCTGCTGACTCAGAAGTTTAGGCCATCTTAACTTTTCCCCCACGTGCTGGCACAGCGAAAGGGGACAGAGGCTTAACCTTTGGGTTAAGGTGAGCCTGGGTGGGCTGTGGGCAGTGGCTGGGTGATGTGAGCAGGGGCAACAGGGCAAGGGGCTGCTTCCATCTCGGGTTGAGGGTCGTTGGAGGTGGGCAGTGCTCTGAGACAGCAGCTCCCTTTCTTCTCTTGTGTCGCTGCATGCATTGTATTTCTTGGCACCATGTATCCATGACATCTTGATTTGCAGACAGTCAAATAAAATAGAAGAATAATGTCCCCTGTTAATAGGCTGACACACTGCTTCAGGCCAAGTGTGAGTATTTCTATAGCATTTGCTTTGCTGCCTTATGTCAGTAACTGTTGCCATTGAAAGTAAACACCCCAACTGGTTAAATCAACAGGGTTTTGTTTATTCAATGCTCATAAACTCCAGTAGCTATAGGTCACTTTATGAAGTGCCAACCCCTGGGGGAAGAGAAGGAGTAGTGTGAAATTACTGCATGCAGTCCACCCATCATGAGTCTTAGAGGAAGGGGATTTATTGGCAATTAATATTTCTTGCAGAGGGCAAAAAAAGTAATCCTATTGAGGCAACTCTGTGTTGAACTTTGAGCCTTTTTACTGGTAGAAATAGGGTGAAACCTTCTTGTAGGCCTGGGTAAATAAAAAAAGATCTTGGAAAATGAAAAGTGGGTTTTTATTTTTGAGGAAAGGGTTTGCAAACTGCCTAGTGGGAGAAGATTGCACGTAAAATGGGCGAAGAAAACCTGGTGCTCAGTAGGTACCCGAGTGTCTCCCATCTTTCCCTTTAGCATGATACCTGCATTGAGAAACTCAGCTGAAGCACTTCCAAATGGTATTATTCTGCAGCACATGTAAAGCACACGTGGGTTTTTGACATCCACAAGCACAACCAAATTTGTGTCACGGCAGAAGCAGTTTTGGAGATGCCCGTAGCCTGCTTGTGCTGTAGCCAAGCTGCTGGCCATGGGGCTGTAGAAGTCTGGAGCCGCACCAGGGAACCCACAGAACACTTCTGCCCATCGCAGGCTTCCAGGCAGCGCTGCTGAGGCTGCCCCAGCTTGGCTGAGGGGCACAGAAGGGTATTTGGCATTTCCTAAGAGCTGGGATGCATGTTCCCAGTGAACCGGCTGTCCTCCTGGCTCCCTGGTAGGTCGCAGCATACACAAACACTGTGCTCTATGGAAGTTGGACAGAGGCTTGGTCTTCAGCAGTCATTTCCAACTTGCCGAGATCCAAAAGTAATTAAGATGAGTCAGACGGTTATTTCCAGGCTAAAATTTGTCCTTCCTCATCCTGAAGAAACCTTGAGAACCACTGATCTGTGGGATGTCAGCATAAAGCTCTCTATTAAGACACTGAAATCTGAAGGAGACATAAATTAACCTGGAATTTTGATGATTTGGGATGCTTTGGAAGTGAAATTTGGGGACTGAGTAGGAATAAACAGTGTCCGGGGCAAAGCTTAAATACATTTTCTCTTGACTGTTGTAGACATGGTTTTGATTATTGTTATTTAATCTTAAACTTTTGAGGTTACAAATCTCTCTTTGTGATAAATCCAATTACGAACTCATCAAAAATTTGAGGATTTAGGGAAAGGAATTAATCAGAGTCCATGTGAAAGAAATTAGCAGCTTCTGTGAAAATAATCTGAATATATATTCTTAATTGTCAGTATCTTAGCCCAGCTGCTGTTTTGTATTTGAAGGAAACAATGAGTCATAAGGTTGTCTTAAATAGATCTTTAAAACTGCCTCTCAAATGTCACAAGAAAGTTACAAATATCAAATTATCGATATTTTTAACAAGAGCAATATTTCCATATCACGACTGGCAGAAGGAGTTCACCTGAGCTTGTCCGTGCTAGAAGAGTTGCTCCCCACTTCTACAGACACCTGTCTGACAGCTTTAATGCTTGTGTTTTCCTACCATATACGCTAGCATTTTCTTCATATGGTGAGAGAATTTGTACAGCTCTCACTGTGGCCAAGACCTGCTGGGTTTTTGGCCTTCTGAAGGTTGCACAGCAGTAAACCAGTGCTGGGCCCAGGTCACAGAAAGCACAGCCTTGTCTGTGTGCAAGTGGAGAGCTAACACATAGGATAGCGCTTAATTCTTTTTGGCTCAGCAGCCAACGGTGTTCAGCAAAGGGAAGACACAAGGGCTCAGAGTCTCTCTTGGGAGCAGGCTCTTTGTCAGAGAAAGTTAAAATGCAGCCAAGGCAGCTGTTAAATCGATGAGCGGCATCCTCCAGAGGCTTTTCCAGTTGGGGTGGATGAATCTGGAGGAGTTTGAGTGCAGGTCATGAACTCACAGCTCACCAGACCCAAACTGCTGCCCACCTGGTCTCGTCACTAGGAAGCTTGTGATATCTTCCAGCTGTCTGCATTGCAGGGAGCAATTCTCGCATCTTCACTTTCATCTTCTCCTGCGCCTTCTTAGCAAACAGTTGGAAATGGGCTTGCAGGGATGGTGAAACAGGACTTTGTTTCTCTGACCATGCAGATGGCTGTTTTAATGGGATGAGAAGGTGGAGAGATGGTGCTATCCTGGTTTTTTGGCTGGGGAAATAGAGAATAACTTGGTGAAATCACACTTCAAGTTTGTGGCCAAGAACAGTAAAGACACCAGACAACCTTGATCACATACATGCCTATCTGGCTTCCACCCTACCTTTTCTTTCGTTGCCTTTTATAATGATACTCAGTCTGCAGCACAGGCCCTGCTCCCCAGATGTTCAGGCCTCTGCATAACATGCTTGAAAAGCCCTGGCTGCAGCAGTCCTGATGTGACCCCTTCTGCTTGCAAATACAGCTTTGTGATTGCCCCTCTTGTTGTGTGCACAAGGCTCGATGCCTGCACATGGAGACAGTGATTTTGTTGGCAAACATGCTGTTCCAGGCCGAGGGTAGTCCCTGCTCTGTAGGAGGCAGTGGACTTTTGTAGAAAAGGTTTATTTTTACTTTTTTTCTGAAGGAATTCAGTGTTATTCAGTGGAATCCTCTCTGCAGGTGGAATTTTTGGGCTCCAGGGCTGCAGTGTGCCTGCACTTGAAAATTTGGCCATTTATTTGGAAACAGACATGGGCAAGTTCCAGCTCATTCATCCAAGCTGTCCTTTCTCAAGGACAAGGAGTAAGGCCAGCACAGCTGAAACGCTGCAGCCAGCTCCTGAATGTTTCCAAATAAAATGCCTTGAGTAAGTTTATTTTTCCCTCTCAAACCTAAATTTAGCACCCTGGAGAAGCTGCTTTGGCAGTCAGTGGATGGTAACGATGACAAGATCGATCTGTGGATAGTTCTGGGAAGATTTGGAAAGTCCTGGTAAAACGAAGTTGGTTTCATTCATGTCTGCAATTTATCCACAGCCCAAAGGTCTGCTCATGAACTTCCAATGGTTGAAAGGCAAGATATTGATAGCTGCCTCGTTTATGGAGGACAACAGATGATCCTGACCGGACAGAATTTCACAGCAGAGTCCAAGGTGGTGTTCACAGAAAAAACATCAGGTAAGGCAGGGTTTTTTCCTAACTTTCCCTAGTAGGATAAGGAAAATCTGTAGTGCTGATGCGTCCCATGGTCTCATCCTAAGGTTTGTGCTCATGAGTAACTCTACTTGAGTGAGTAGTCCCATTCAGGTTCGTGTAAGTAAGACCAAATCACTTGACCTAACCATGTGAGTAAAATTAGACCTGGGAGCAAGTATTTGTCTTATGGGTTCACAAGAATACAGACACTGGGAATCAGCAGGAACAGGATATGTTATCAAAGAAATTAAATGACCATTGCATGTTTCTCTGTGCTTGTTCAGTCTCATGTTTAGTGAATGGTGCTGCAGAAATCATAACTGGAGTTAATATTTTTTATTGATGTGAACTCCAGGCAAAGACTGTGTTTTCTTCCATTTAGATATCTGTGGTGGAAAATGTACGTAATGTGTATTATCAAAGTGAAATTATTTTTGTACACATACTGAGATACACGAACACATCACTTCATCTTCCATGGTATTTTCAGGTATTTTTATAGAGGCTCAGACTGTAGCAAAACAAAACCAATTCAAAGAGAAAGGCCAAAGGCCTCCTGTTACAGCCTAGTGCTGCTTTTTTCCCAGTAGAGCTGCTTCTTTTAAAACATGTTTTGCCAAAGTTTTCAGGTAACCTTGCAAGCTCTTGAGCAATCATAAAGGGGAAATGAGTGGCAGACTGTAGATTCTCTCTCTTTTTCCCTTTCATATGAGTCTACTTATTTGCTTGACTTGCAGAGAGCCAGTACATGATGGTTCCAAGCCCTCACTGGTGTTGGATGAATGTAAATAAATAATAGGAATAAAGAATGGTTACCAGGAGTTATTTAGTTGCCTAGCATCACCTTTACTGCCTTTCCTGAGCTCTGTATGTTGTGTTTTCATAATGGCATACTATAATGAACATTACTTGATCTCTAACTAAAAGAGTAACTGACCCCAGAAAAAATACTTAGCATGATCTAATGGTTAAGGTGGGCAGCAGAAATCCAGGTCCTCTTGTATACAGGAGGAACAAACAAATCCATTCTGCTGAAGTTACCTGTTTTTTCAGAGCTGAATTGTTTGTAATATCATATGCATGCAGGCATTTCATTTCAGCTCACTAGGCAGTATGTGTATTTTATTGGATTTTCGAAGGCTTTTGCTAAAGGACATTGTTTCTTTGTAAATGGTCTGGACTTGTTTAACTTACCCTTCATTAGGCTTGATTTTTGTATTCTAAATACTGTGCTCTGCAAGGATAATAACAATGTCCAGGGATCCAAAAAGCACTTTGCAAATATGAAGTGCTGGGCTCTGCCATCCTTTACTCCTGTTGATTCCAGTGAGACAAGGGACTCTGCAGTACAAAAGGCATCAGCCTGTTTTATGTAGACGTTGTGTTCCCTTTGTGCTATTAAAAAGTCATGTTGCTCCTAAGGTTTTTTTGTCAGTAAACTGAGGTAGAGGCAGCTTCAGTGATCGATCTCATGACTTGCAAGGGATTAAAAAAATTGCATTGCCCACGTGAACAGCAGCTGTATGATTTATAGGGTAATGCCTTTGGCAAAAAGTAAGAATTGATCCAAAAATCAACATATGTGGACATCAGCTGGTGACATGGGGTGGGGCAGGAGGAATCAAGTTGTGGGTCCCTGTTTCTTCCCACACCACCAGCAAGCCATGCTATTTTACAGCGAGAATGAAAGGCTCTGGGCCTCTGAATTGTGGAGGTTCAATGAGCCTGTGCAGTCAGAGCAATTTTCTTGGCACCCTGTATTTCCTTTTAAGCCCGTGTATTAATTCCTTCCCACTGTGCTGCCACTGTTCCGTCAATGTCAGTGAATCATGAAGGTGCATGGGAACATGCTTGGCAGCCCATGACAGTACCTGTCCCAAGAATGTTTTGCAGTAACTAAAGGAGATGATACACTAAAAGGAGGTAGCTTTTAATGCCATTTCGAGGAAACAGGGGCAGGGTGTTTTGGATGTTTCCATATAAGAGCAGAGAAGGCTCTGGCTGGAATAGATGTTAGAAAGTAAAAAGAACAACAATATTTTCCACACTAAATCTAAAGCTTTTCTTCACTGCTGGGGAAACTACATTTTTGTTGTTCTTTTTTTACCTCCTGGTAGCGGAGAGCCATGCCTTATCCCAGCGGCAGTGCCCAGTCTGGAGCAGGGATTTGCATGCTGGTGTTCCATATCCGGCTTCCCCACCACCCTTCGGTCTCTGCAGGCAGTCTCAGTCTGCTGGACTTTGAATAAATGACTGGCAGAGAGGAATTCACAACATGGGAGGCCCAGAGTCAAATCTTTGCTCTGAATCAGAAGTCTGTGTAGTTTGCAGTGGGTTATCTGGGGACCCTGCTGAAGGCAAGCTAATCCTCTGTGTATACACGCACTGTGTTATGCTGCAGCGATACCTCTTACAGATACACTCTGAGGGGCTTTTAAGTGAAGATTGCTTTCTTGAATAGGTATATCTTAAGGTGAGGAAGGTTAAGAAGCTGAGCTGGATATGCAAATTGTGCAGGGGCTGATCAGACTCTGGCTGCAGCAGATAGAGAAATAAGCCTTTGTACTTGGGTTGTCCAAGGTTAATGAGAGTCCCAGGCTTGCATGAAAATTACGGTCTTAAGCACCTGCAACTTTCAGGTTGCCTCACTGTACATTGCAGACCATTTTAATTATCACTACCAAGGCCATGCTTCGTTGTCATTGCATGAGGCTGCATGAACACGGAACAAAAGGCCCCGTTTCATCAGCCCGATGTGACAAGGAGAAATGTCACTGGGTGGAAGGAGGAGGTGGATCCTGCACTCGCCTCGGGGAGCTCGCTCGCTGCAGATCCAGGCTGCACAGCACCTTGCAAAAAGCACCGATAAGCTGCTCAAAAGCAAAGCAAGCCACAGTAAACATCCCGGTGGGTGGATAGTGCCTCGCTAGTGTCACACTGCCATTGTTGCGCCCTCTTCCAGAGCGTGACACGGCCCTGGGGAGCCTGTGAAGCAGTTGCACCTTCGCGAAGGCAGGAAGATGCCCCAAGCTCGCATGGTTTTCTTTGAGTTGCATTTTAACAGCGCACAAGCTTTATCTGTGTTAGCAAGTGGTACTTGATTTCCCACTTCTGCCACCAGTTTTAGCTCTGCTGGTAATCACACAAGGGTGAGAGCATGATAACCATCTAATAGCTTTTGGTATGCTCTACTCCACAATGCTCCTTGACTTGTTTGTCAGGTGTTTAAAGAGAGAGAAGCAAGACTCTTTTCCCCAGAAAACTTTTGTGCAGGTGTCTTTGTGCAGTGAGATACTCTCCTGTTAGTTGTTTCACAGACTCCAGAACCTGGGTGCAGCTTGAACCCCGGGGTCTGGGTCAGTGTCTGCAATGAAGCAGGTGCTGAGGTGGCAGCAGTCAGCAAAACAGAGGAAACTGCTGTTGGGCCTCACAATTGTAAATTAAGTTTTATCCCTCAGGCAGATGCTCAAAACCTGTTTCAGTTTCCTGTGGATCTTGTAGGCAATTCTTCACGTACTAGCAACACAGAGAAATGTAGAAGTGTTCATATGTGACCAAAATACAACATGCTTCTATAGATAGGTATATTTTCCCCTAGAAATACCTGGAAAACAAATATTCCCCAGATTGTCCTGGGATGTCATTATAAAAATAACTGTCTTGTATTACATGTACTACAAATTACTGCAATGAGCTTGCCAATGAGAAGTCTGAGAAAGTCTCTCATTTTAGGCTTGTGACAGGAAATGGCAGCAGGAAGCGAGCTGAAGGGGCTGGAGCTCAGTGCTCAGTTGTGAGCAAGGGGATAAAGTACTTGCATGTGAAATGCTGATGCATAAATAGAGTTCATTTTCTCAATGATAAAATTTACCAACATGCAAGCATTATAGTTTTGAGTTCTCTTTAAGGTTATCTCTTCCTGCTGAACGATTGTAACTTGTAGCTGCTGTAAGCCAGGAGAACTCGTGAATTCAATACAGTCCGTCCAGCACACAAAGCAGAGTTTGGCTGGAGCAGTTTTAAGGTCTGAACTCAGAAACACATAAGCGAGCCCAGCTAAATAGAAATAGGGGAAGCAACTAGATTGGATTGTACAAACAGAAAATATTGAAGTGCATGTATTCTTTTAATTTTAATCTGGATGAGAGAGTTTGAAAAATCAAGGATTTGGAATACGTTAAAGGTCAAGGGTGTTAGTGTTTGGTTGGGGCCCAGATCTTACAATGTAGTTAAAAAAAGAAAAGGTTTGGAATTCCCCCTTTTGTTTTAATTGTCATGTAATAATTTGCAAGTCAGCTGTTGGTGGTTGCATTGTGTTTACTCCCATTTGTGTACTGGTTACTGCTGCTGTGCTGTAAGTGATAGAGGAGTCTCATGTTTCTCTTGGAGAAAAGTGCAACTGGACTGTGCTTTCCTCTGCCAAACTCTTATGGTGGCCACATGGACATCATGAATCATCGCTAGGACAATGTGGGTGGTGGAGGAGCAACCCAAACAGAAAGTGTACATCTTTGGAGAAGATCTACCATAAATCTTTCAATTCAGCCATACGGTGTGAAGAGAGGAGGTGGTGCTCTCTGTGCCCTTTGAACTGATGCAGCTGTCAAGGCCTCTAAAGAATGGACACTCAAAGTGTGACAAAAATAAATCTGATCAGCTCTAGATTCAAGCAATGGACTTGTAGTTTCTTTTTCTTGTGAGTTTCTGCATGTCTCTCACCTAGGTGGTCTTTTTGTGGTAGTGATTTCCTAGGGTGCTGATAGCTAGGGCAAGTGAGCTTGGACATACTTGAGTGTCCACTGGTTTCAGGAGAGCCCACCACAGGGCAAGATCAGGACCATTGTGTTCAGTGTCTTGGTAATGAGTTGAGGTTTTCATCTGCATGGTGCCCAGAATGCCATGTCTAAATGAGGCACTTGCCTCTGTGCCCTAGAAATGAACCACAAAGCCTGTGCCAGGATACCACAAGCAGAAGCCTTTCC